AAATTTCTGAGTTGCAAACCAACTGCAGAATGCTTTCCATTTGTGCTGATACACCTCCAATGAAGAATGATGTATGAAAAAAGCGAAAAGGAAATGCTACTCAATGGGAAAAACCTGATCTTCTCATCAAGGACCATATAAAAGCCAGGAGTAAAGACGAAGGACATGAATGGCTGGATGTAGAACCAGTGACCAAGGTTGATGAAGAAGGGAAGGAGACAAAGGAGGAGGTACTGGAAGGAAAGTTGCAGTTGTTGTAATCGTGGAAACCATGGTTGATCTGGCCAATAAGGAGCAATCAGAAGGACTCGACAAAGAGTGGTTTGGATGAGAGAGATCATCCAATGATGTAATCGGAGAGGAGAATAAACTTAAAGGAATTTGTGGGACCATTCCTGGCTGAAGGCATCACCAGTGAGAGCCTGAAAATGAGGTACTGGGGACCAAAAGAGAGGTAATTTGTGATTGAGGTATGTGACAAATCTATGTAAGTGGAAAAAACGTCACAAATTGCAAAGCCACCAAAAAACAAGGGGATCTAAAGACCACTCCATTGGAGATATTTGGTCAGGGCAGGAAAAACGATCTGCTATGAAACTGAAAGCACCTGGAATGTGACATGCAATTGTCAGAATGAATCATCACCAGACAATGTCTGGTGAGAGAAAGGAAGTGATTTAGAGTCCAACAGACTGCAAGAAGCACTCAAGGACGTTGATATGCAAAGATATTTCGTCTACAGACCAACAACCCAGAGCCTCCTGGTGAGTGACCCATGCACCCCAACCCTGAAGGGATGTGTCCATGAAAAAATGTAAATCTGGATGATGAGAAGGAAGTGGGTCACCTGCTGATGTATGGTCCTTGTCCAACCACCAATGCAGATCATCCATCAGGGTAGGGAAAGGTACTGGGAGTAGAAGGAGGATTCCATGCAAGGTTGCATTGATCATGAAGAGCCCACTGTGCATGACCAAGGGGTACCAGTGACATCACTGCAAACTAAATCTCCAAGAGCGATAGAACCTCATGAGTAGAAAGTGAGGAAGTTGAAAGGGTGTGTCAAACTAACAATTCCATGGAATGAAGTCATAGAGGAGAAGGTTGGACCCAACTGAGATGAGAAAAAGACACCCAAGTGGACGAGATATTGGGTAGGTTGGAGGAAGGAGTTCTCTAATTTGTTTAACCAGCCAACCCAAGCAGCTACTAAAAGGAGCTGATGAGTATGGCTGGTCGACTCCATTTCAGAATGAACCATATAATGGTGGAATCGCAACCCCAGGGCATGAAGATGGTGCACAAAAGCTCTGAACATCCAACAGAAAACATAAGGGGCAGAAGCAAGCCCGAAGAGTAGAAAACAAAATTGATAAACCACCCTGTGATGGATGAACTGAAGATATGGACGAGACTGTGGTGATATAGAGATTTGGAGATAAGCATTGGCAACGTTGAAATTGGTTATTCATAAGCCCGAAGAAAATGCCCACTGCAGGTTAAGAAATGATTCCATGATAAAATGGGGCAGTTGAACAAAGCAATTGAGGCAGGACAAATCGATGACAGGCCTCCAGTTCCCAGTTTTCTTGGGAACAACAGAGAGTCTGGAATAAAAACCTAGTGAAGGATGTTGAACAGGTTCGATGGCCTGATGAGATAATAGTTCCTGAACCACCTCCAACATAAGCTGGTTGGTCCTGGGATCCACAGGCAGAGGGAAGAAAATGGGTATAGGAGACACTGGAGGTGGGGAAAAAATGGGATCACGAATCCTTCCGATAAAACTTGAAGAATACAATGATCCTTGATAAAGGATGCCAATGATGAAGCAAGTCAGCAAGCCGAAATCCCACTGTACCAGAACACACTGGGTAGTCACCAATACTGTTGCTGATGTGACAAGCATCATCGAAGAAGAAAGTAAGGGTAAGGGAAGGGATGGGAAATGGTAACTCCAACTGAGACAAACGTGCAACAAGGTTGGAAAGGGTAGACTGTTGTTGTACTGATGCAACTCGTGATTCCAAAGACTCAGGGATCGTGTCAAAGACATACTGCTGCAGAAATGGGGAATATGTAAATCCCAAAGATCAAGTGATGGTAAATGGATGCATGTTGAGGTTGCATCACGACCTAGAAGGTCCCAACTACAGAGAAACCACGTATATAATGCCAAAACCAAAGACGACAAATGAGCCAATGTGGAGGAAAGAAGGGAAAGGATGTTCCCAGAGAATTCCTCAGGATTTCAATGGAGAGTCTCATAGAGGAGATAGATGGTTGAGAGATACCATAAGAGTTGTGAGGATAAGATAAAGGCAGGAAAATTGAGCATGGGTCAAACTTACAGGAGATTTGGGGTCGCACCCTAAACAGGCAAAATGGAACCTAACAACTGTTAGGTATGCATAATGATATTCAAGAGCAAACTGATCCAAAGCCTGTCACTTAATTGTGAGGCAAATTGGTCAGCATGTACCCAAATAGCTTGGGAAGGATGGGAAGGTTGGTCATGTAGTAAGGAAGGACACAGTTCATAGGAAATAGGGGAAAGGGATAAAACATCATATACCTGAGAAATGAAATCCCAAAAGACCGTATTTGATCTAACTGACTCCTCAGATGGGGAATGGGAAGGCACGGCAAAATCAGGAGGTTTAAATAGGTGATCCAAGTCCTCGTCTGCCTGACCAGGCTCAACTTGTTTGGGAAGAAGTGGGTGAGGTCCAGAGACAGAGGTTGAACCATGTAACGTTCAATCTCCCAGTGAATAAACATGGGTAAATTCCCTACCGGATTGCTCCCACACCTGTGGCCTGAGACATAGTGCTAGTTGCAGGTGTGATCCAAGAATTGGTAACATGAACTTCGGAATTCATAATGAGAAAAAGTCAACCAATAATTGAAAGTATTAATAGCAATGCACCTGTAATAAACCAGGATTAAAGTGAAGTTAAGAAACAGTCTCAATAGAAACTAGAAGAAAAAATAAATGAAGACCACTTCGTGAGTATACTAAGGACGAACATGAAATTTTAAACAAACAAAAAGGAACATGTCCAAGCACAAGCACTGCCAAATGAGAAGTGATAGTTTGGTAGAGGCATGTAGAGGGAGTCACATGCATCATGTATGTCATGCTCCTATTGATGGAGAAGTTACACATGATGATTTACATGAGAGACATGTTGGAATCATTTGATTCCAATAGGGAGAGCAGAAGGCTTGTGTAAAGAAAGAACTAAAGGACAGCATTGGACGAGAATAGCCAATCTTGTGAGCAGAGGGAAGTACAATATCGGAATGTTTTTAGGTCATGAGACATGGCAGTCATTTCTATCTGCACAAAAATCTTTCTAGTTAATCTTTTTAAATAAAATTTTGTATTCTTTTCTTTTAAAAAAAAGATTCATGTATAGGTCCGAGAAAGCAATAATGGCTAATAACAAAACAATATGCTAAGCTTAAAAACAAAAGAAGACTGAGATGTATATTAACTTAAACTGCAAATTTTTTTTTTCAGTATAAGGAATGTATAAGTAGACAGGATATTCAGAAACAGTAGCGAGTTTAGTTTTGAGTTAGAATTGAGTGTTTAGTCAGCAGAATAAGTTCAGATGCACATTATTTAACATGAAATATTAACATAACCTTAATATTACTATAACCTGACGATATGAAGAAAAATATAACCTTTTGTTAAAAATACTAAGCTTACTTTTAGTAATAGTACTTAATTTGTTAAAGTTTTGAATATTCAGTCTTCTTCATCAAAATACATACATCCTATAGTGAATAACAAATTGTATACATAACAAGTTTAGCTAGATGAGGAAGATTTCCTAGGAAACAATGCTGCCTAGATAGTATTACAATTACGAAAAACTGCATGAACTTTTTTAAAATTAAGTCATTTGTACATACTGATACATAAAAACCTTAGGCACTATTAAACTTGAATATAAGAGATACACTCAATGTTTCTGGAGATGGATGTGTAATCAACTAATCCAGTATCCAGTCTAGTTGAAAAATTGTAGAGATGTCTTGTTTAAAAGTAAAGAAATTTGATACCCATGCTAGTTAAAACAACTGTAGGAATGATACAGATACAAGTCTTACTTAAAACTCAAGTAATCCAGCATTGAGTCTTGCTGAAAAAAAAAAAGAAAAAGGTAACAACAGAAAAATAAGTCATACTTAAAAGTCAAGTAATCCAATACTCAATGTAATAAAAAAACACTAAAGAAACAGATATGTGATATGCAGGCATATCATGTGTTTTCTACCTGCTTTTATTAATATAGGAATTTAAGAATTTTCATTTAGTTTGTTTCTATGCAGTTTTAGAACAAATATGTGGCCCAGAAAACTGTTGAAGTGGTTTTGTACTAATTGCATTTGTGCCTTTGTTCTCTATAGCAAACAATATCTACTCTGGATATTGCAGTAACATTGCTCATCCATATTGAAAGGGTAAATGACTGTAATGTCCTTTCCTGGCAGAGTGGATGATGTCTGTATGTTTCAGCCAATGAATGTTGCAAGATAATTTCCAGTCACATGGTGATCTATCATAAGAGAAAAAATGCAAGATTTCTTGCATGATTGGAAACTTTATTCTCTTTCTCAGTTCTGCTTAGCTTTCATCTTGAGAGAAAGAAAGATGAAGTTTTATTCATGTATCTAGTAGAGATGACTATCTAAGCATCTATGCAAGTAAGTTTAGTTTTATTATGATCTGTGTTATAATAAATATTGTTTTACACTTAACATCACATGTGCCTAGTCTAGTTATTTTTCACTGCTTAAAACTCTGTTAAGTTTTCAAATCAATATTACTCTGTAAATTTCCTGTTTGGTCCTCCGTACCTGATATTTGTGTAGAAATCAGTTTCTCTGAATATACTGCAAATATATAGGTCTTGATTAAAAGTCAATTAATTCAATACCCTGTACAGTTAAAGAAAACTGTAGGAATAAGACATATGTCTTACCTAAAAGTTCAGTAGTCCGGTACCCAATCTAATTGAAAAAGGTTTAGAAATAAATATACATATCTCACTGAAAGTTAAGTAATTCAGTACCTAGTCTGATTGAAAACATGAAGTAATAAAGAAGTAAAATATAAACATAAAATTACAAACTTCCAAATGCAGTATATTATGTAGGATGAAAAATATTATTTCATTAAACCAGGTTGAAGATATTTAGTGGTAACAGATAATGTCTCATTGTAAATGTGTAGACTAAAAAGAAATATTATACAGCCACATTGAAAGCTTAGAGGGAATGAAATAATAAATAAATTTACTGTAAAAGCAAAACATTTATTATTCAGTGTGATTGAAGACACTGAACAAATAATTGGTCACTATAAAGCAAACTAATCCAGAAGGCCTGTACCCAGTATTGTTGATCAAAAAAATGAATCACAATAAAATCTCACATTAAAGTCAAATAATCAAATATATTTAGTATAGTTGATGATTTTAAGTGAATCAATAAATAAGCCAAAACTATTATCTATTCTAGTTTAGTCACAAATATGAAGGAGTAATTTAATTATTTTACCTGCTTCTCTGACACTTCATTAGCAAGTACTTTAGAAGACGATAAGATTTTAATAGCTGTTTCATCTTCCAAAATATTGCCTTGAGAACTTGATAAGACTTCCAATATCTTGTCCTCAATCTCTTTCAATTGTCTGTTTCAAATATAAGAGTAATTATTAAAGTATATACCAAACATAATCTATCCGATACAAAACAGATGTACAGGTGTACAAAGTTTACAGGCAACCTATTCATGTGAGAAATTGTCAAGTTATTTGCAAATTTCTAGTACATTCAAAAACCAGTTTAATCCAATTGCATAAAGAGGAAGACTGAAATAAAACACGTTTATGCCATTAATTTTCATGTTTCTCACAGCTGAAAGTTAAGTTTCACGAATAAATAATATTAGAAATATATATATACGTTATGAAACCTTGAATTTCATCTTTTTAACTTCAAGTACAAATTGTTAAGGATACAAACAGGTGCTGTTTGTATAACTTGCAGGTTCAATTTTTATAATGCAAACAATATAGCTCCATTCAGGTGTCTGTGACAGTCCAATCTGGAGATTTAAGTGATTTATTTTTCTTAAAAATGCTATCTACATATTTATATATTTCTCAGAATTTAACAGAACTCTGAATGTTTGAAACTAGTTGTTTCAAATTTATCAAAATAAAATTAATGATTTATTTAACTTTTCACTATATCTGAACTCATTAAGCAGTACAAAAACAGTATACAAATAATTAGTACAGTTGTTTTCTTGTGTTTTTATCTAATTTTATAAAAGTGAATCCAAACAAACTTTTGTAAATCAATAAATCTCAGTTTACTGCATATTGTAAAATAAAATGTCAGAGACACTATTTTCATTGGTTGGCTGTTATACCCTCTTAACCAACAATACACAGTCTCTTTGGATCATCAAGGTTATTGTGTGAGAAGGTGGCATGATATAAAAAAAACTAATTGTAAGAGGCATGCTAAAGATCTATTTTAGCTCAGATAAAAGTACAAAGGTAACCAGCCATATAATCAACACATCACAAAAGATTGCTGAAACTGGTTTATTACTATTTGGGAGGGGTAATCTTTAAGTGCCACAGTATAAATTTATGTTAACTTAATATGTCATTAAAGGTATATATATCTAGCACAAAAATATACGACATACATTAACGTTAACTACGTTCATAGATGGCGCCACATACATACCAAAATTTTTTTATTACATTTTCTATAATACAGTATACAAACATTGTATGGGGAGGGCGCACAAACATCATATATATATCTTAGGGGTGCATTAGCACTCCCTATGTAGGAATGCAATGAAAAAATATGGCCGCTACTACTGCAATCTATAATTAAAAAAGAGCATGTCTGTGTGTGATCACTTATCCAAATTAACTTTCTTGACGTCACTGTCATTTTAAAGGATGGAATTTTACATACCGACGTGTACAAAAACCTACAGACAGACAACTATATCTTCACTATAGAAGCTGTCACCCTGCTCATGCTAAACAGAATATTACCTATAGTCAAGCTCTTAGAAGAAAGAAAATAAGCTCAGATGAAACAGACTACAGAAAACACATCAAGGATCTAAAACAAACCATGTTGAAAAGAGGACATAAAGATACCAAAATCAACAGACAGATTAAAAAGGCTAACAACACTCATCAGAAAAACATCTTAAAACAGAATAATACTATAATTTCAAATAGAATTCCTCTTATTACCTATCACTTTAAACTCAGAGAGGTTTCACAAATTCTGAAAACAAAAAAAAAATTCTACTCCTACAACTGAACAATCACTTTTAAACAGATATTTCCCGAAGTTCCTGTTGTTTCCTTCCAAAAATGCAGAACTCTAAAAGATATCCTTGTTCATGCAAAAGGGAATTACATCCCACCAAAAAATGGTTGTCATCCATGCAATAAAGCTCATTGTCAAACCTGCAAGTTCATAAAAACTATTGACTCATTTTCTGATAAGCACAATCAAAGAAACTTTAAAATATTCAAAGAAATCACTCATTGAGCACAAAACATCATTTACCTTATATAGTGTAAAAAATGCAATCACCAATATGTAGGACATACACAAACAACTCTTAGAGAATGTTTCAACAATCATAAATCTATTTACATTGAAAAAGATCTATCTGTTGCTCAACACATTAACCAACCTGTTCATTCCATTAACAATGTTACTCTCATTGGTATTTAAACAAGATTCAAAACTAAAGATGATAAGAGAAATAGAAGAAGTTTATTGGATCACTAATCTAAACACTGTTCAACCTTTTGGAATTAATCTAGATCCTGGAATCAGTGATCTCCAATCCTTGGTTTCATCTTTGTCAGAAAACTAATTTTTATTCTTAGTTTATTTCTTTCATGTAGTGTGAACCCTAACTTTCCTAAAACGTACTATTTATTTAAGATAATTTGCCATACTTGTTTGTATAAATTGATTAGCTCAAGCAGTCTCCAGGTGTCAACTTTACTTTACTTAAACACTTAAGTACAGTTTTATATATATATATATATCCAAATCTAAAGCAAAATATCCCTAACATTTTTTTACATAACGCTCTCATTCCTACCTACGGTACTGGAAATGAGACACAACAGTACATGAAAAAATATACTAAATATTTCCTGGAAAACTGGATGACCTTTATGATGCCACTCAACTCCCTTTATATATCACTCATTCGATTACACCACCATTCCCAGTTTGCCCTGAAGAAGAAAGGTCTACCTTTTGAAAGCTCTCATGTTATAGGGTTTTATCATCTTGTATCAGAACTTCTTGAACCTACGTGTTTTTCTGACATCATGAATATAGAAATCACAGACAGTCAGACAGACATGCACATGTGTGTGGGCATGCTCATCTTTTTATGAGGCAAGCTAATGAAAAACCACATAGAAAAGAAGTGTGAATATTGTTACCATGGTTTTGATATCTGAATGGAATTCTCTGAGGCACTATCAAGTAAACAACACCAGTAGGAACTTTTCGGTGTACCAACGGTATCTTCTTAATTGCCAAGTCAGTGAATAATATTTCTCTCAACAATACCAGAATCAACTTTGTGTAACAGTGACAGTTATTTTTTCCCCTAAAACAGTGATTATACTGTTCCTTTTAACAATATCAGCACTACATTTTTGGTGCATCAGCAACACTTTCTTACCTATCTAATAATTACTATAGTTTTTCTTAATAACATTCAGTATGAATTTTTGATTTATGAATGGCATTTTAGTTTTGGATACCAAATCACTGAACACTATTTTACTCAACATCGCAACCGGATTAATAAGTTGGTCATTCAGAACCTATAGTCAGAATAATTGTATCAAACACTAATTAATAGTGTATTTCCTTATATTACAAATAGAAATCACAGACAGACAAACAGACATGCACGTACCTGCATGCATGCGTATCTTTGTAATGACACAAGCTAGTGAAAAACCACATAGAAAGGAAGTGGTTCCTTATATAACACCTTCTAATATACAGAAAAAGCCAGTGAATTTTGGTAACAATGCATTCCAACAATGTCTTTTATGCTATGTTGCTTAACAATAAAAGTATAACCTAATACTGTTGTTAGTCTATATGCTTAAGGTAGAAAATGGAATATATAAACTACAGAATGAACTATTTTATCTGAATAAATGCATTTTCTCTTTTATGACTCCTCTTATTTCGAGAAATCAAGCGTGGCATGATGCGACACACACTTGCTTGTATAATAGGTTGGATAATGTGACATACAGAGGCATCTGTAATTATGTATAATAATTTTGTTATCATTGTTCCTTTGTGACTTTATGTTTTTGAGAAATAAAAGTGTTGAAAATATTTTTGACAATTCTTCTATGCTAAAATATGTTCAGAATACACATACATTGACATAGTCATCTAGAATACATTAACCTAATATCCCGAGTAAAGCCAGGTACTTTTGCTATTAATACATAAACTCAGCTGAAGTTTCAACTCCAATAGCCACCATAAGGCTGATATGAATAGCTGTATCTTGAGTTATACTTACTTCCTACTTTAACCCATGACTATTCAACTTTGGCTCATAAGACACTTTTGCGGCCAATGACTGTCAATTATTTAATCACGTGAAGCACTGTGGAAGGAAATAAAGAGCTGGGTGTTGAAAGTTGGTAACATAAAGCACATTTACCACCATTACTTTGACGACCATCTCTTCCTACAAAGTCACCCTGACCATTGCACAGTGTATACCATGTTTTAAATATAATATATTAAATTCTTAAAGCTTATACAAAACGTTTGGTGAGGTAATAATGAATACCGTAATGACATGTTATGTTATAAATTGATTGTGTGAAAGTTCGTAGTTTTGTGTTATTTATCATAAAAACAACCACCCTACTTTTTTTAAGTTCATAACCTGGACCAAGAACAGGTACCTCAGCTTGTGATATATCAAAACGTTTAATGCTAAAATTCCTCATTCAGTACAATGGGTGTCAGTAGTAAAATGACAATTATTGTTACAATATGCTAATGGATCTGTAATATAACCAAAACATGTACATATCTGAACTTTCTTTAACTGAACTACTCTAATAACATTTTTAGATGATATATTTTGTTTTTAAATCAAAGACACATGAAACAATCATACCTTTTATTTTCAGCACCCTGAATAATCAGTTCATTTTTTTCCTCCTCTAATTCTGGTCTTTCCTTGGCTACAACAATTCCCAAGAGTTGGTCTTCTAATCCAGCTGGTGTGATCATAAAATTTACTAGGGTGACCTTTACGGCTGCTTCTGGAAGATAATGTGGGTTCCTTAGCTTAGTGGTTATGTAGAAACGAAAGTTTGAGGAATATTCAATGGTAGAGTCCCCTAGTTTCATGCATATGGAACCACCTTGCTTAAAGGTTTGTTTCAAAAGTAATGGCTCTAGTACAGGATCTAATTCTTCTCCTACATTCTCTAATAGTACCTGTTAGTAAGAAAAACTGAATGTGAGCTTCATACATTACTGAACAGCAATGTCAATATAAAAAAAAAAAGTTTTAATCTATACAGTAAGTAATTTATAATTAAAATTTCCTAATTAAGAATTTCATCTTTTCTCTGAAGAAAAATCAATGAGGTGGAGTTTGGTTAATTTTACACATCTTGTATTGCTTTGCTATTATAATATCATTTCGGGGGATATGTGCATATACATCTTTGCTATATCAAATTTTCTCAGTATTACAGTTTTGTAAAAAATCTTTTTAGCACCACAGCCCCCTATAAACACTTCACTGCAATCCTACAACATGTATTCCACCACAATGTAAAGCATATAATTGCTTATAAAGTTTGCAGTTGTCTATATTACAGAAGTGACAGTTTAACATAATATCCATTTATTTTAAGTTAAAAGTTATTCTTTTAAAATAATTAGGTTATACAGTAAATACAAGCTAGAGGATTAAAGTGAGTAAATAAAAGTTCTTACAGGATTGCCAAATTGAATGCAATTTTCCAAGGTTCTTACAAAATCAGCATCGTTAAGCTTTATCACATGCAGGTTGTTATCTTTCTCCATGTTCTTGATCCACTTATTTGCCTGTCCTTGAGGATCAATCAAAAGAGGCCAACGTCGGGCATTGCTGAAATATAGAAACCAGATGATCATGGACACTTGTCATAAAAAAAAACATGTAATCATAATATTAAGTCAGTAGTGGTTAGTGTCAAATGTTGCTCAACATATGGAAACTAAAGATTAACAATGTCAAAAATTACTGGATAATGGATTGCAAGGTGGAAAAATCTATATATATATATATATAAACCTGATGCATTTTATCAAAAAGAATTAGAGAAAGCTCACAGTTTAAAGAAAAGCATAATTGCCATATTTTGTTAATTTAAAATTGAAACAGATTAGCAATTACCCAAATTTCTCTTGACACCTTAACTATTGCTCAACCTCAGTTCCAGTAATTATTGCAAAGTTATTAGTTGTGATAATGACATTTTGTCTTAATATGCTGTACATTGCTTGAGAAATTCACAGATTTTATGAATCTATTCTTAAATGGGTAGACATGCACCTAGTAGTACAGCCTATATCTATATATTCTTTTGCACAGCAAAGACGTGAACTTAATGATGATAAAAGGCCACTTATTTTTAAGAGTAACATCCTTAAAAATTAAATAAATTTTTATTCTTAAAACAAATTTAAACACATATCTAATTAATACCTGTGAATAAATCTGCCAAAGATGGAACTAACTTCTTGTTAATATATTGTAACCGTATTCCTACATTAATATAATACACTTATTACTATTAGTTTCTTAGGCACATATCAAACTTATGATTTTTGGAGTAGCCAATTTATTCAACATTTCTTTTATATTGCATCCAAAAAGTAATTCTTTAAGTTCACTGATTAGCTTTCTAAATTGTTTTTTTTTTACTATCCATTCCTATATACAATTGAAAATATAAACTGCTAACTATCCTTTAAGCAGACACCATGAGAAATGTCATTAAATATACCTTAAGTTGTATGGAAAAAAAATGCCACATTTACTAACCTGATCATAATACCATTTTCTATCGAAAAATTATCTGTTGGAAGGCCAGCAATGGTCCAAGTTCTAATAATAACAGGGTCCCCAAGTGTTTGTGTAAGGGAAAAGTCTTTTGAACAGGGAATGTCATGTTGTTGGCATGTCACCACCCAGGATTCTATTTGTTTCTAGGAAATTTCACATTACAAACAGTTAGAGAATTATCTTACAAGATGTTTTATAACAGCAACTCTCATATGAGCATTTCAACAAATTTCTCTTCCATTGTTTTCAGCTATTGTCAGTTGGTGGTGATTATGCACCAATGTTTATGAAAATATGTCCTAGATCAGTTGAAGAAGTGTATTTTGGTCAAAATTAACATTTTTCAACACTGAAAATGTATTTCTGATTGATACTTTCCTCTTATCACATACTAGCTTTCCTCACGTTTGTGCTATCCTCTACATGCGCAAGGTTTTGCTTGCCACTAGCCTTGAGACTTCCACATAAACTCATGTGTTTCTATATGGTATTTCTGAGCTGTAGCATGCAAATGAGCACATAACAACCCTCACCAATAGGAGTGCGATGAACCATCCTACCACAGCTGATTCCCTCTATACTGATTTTTCAATCATCACTATGAGATTAGGCAAGAAAAGATGCAACGGAAGTGGGAAGGATGGGTGGGAAATGTGAAAAGTGGTAAGTATCTATTGGAAATACCTTTTCAATGTTGGAAAATATTAACTTCCAATACAATACCTTACCTCTTCTTATATATTAGCTAGAATCCCACACTGAAGTGATGGAAGGACCAGTAAAAAAGTTACCTAGATGAGCCCCCTTCAGAAAGCACCCTAAGATAACCCATGGAGTATGAAATCCTATGCCCCGAAAGTATAGGGGTACACTCATGGGAGACTGCACCACTTCTGTACCAGGGTATACTCTCCACCTGTACTGAAGATATACGTCATCAAGTTGGACAGAAAAGAAGCAATTCCAAAAACACCATATGGAAATGGGATGTGCTTTATGGTGTACAATGGCTAGGGCACATCCAACCTTATGTGGCAAATCAACTCCAGTCTAAAACCAGGCAGCATTGAGTGTGCTTCATCCATTCCATGGTAAGAGGAAGATCCCAACCATCTTCACCTCCATACCAAGTAGCAGAAGGGAAAAAGTAGCTTCTGTTTCACCATCCAAGGCAGTGCTCATGTGTCCACATCCAACAACAGGCCACTTGAGAACCCAACATCTGAGCAATGGTAGAATGGAGAAAAGAAAATATGGTTGTTCAACATCAGTCCAAATCCAGGAAATGGCAGGAATTTTCTGTCTGGTCTGCGGGAGGAAGAAGGTCCCTACAAACCACAGGATTGAGGAGTTATGTTGGCAGATCCTGCACCAAGCCAACACCAGACCACCCAGGAACTGAAATCCAGGCAGTGGTAGGATGGTAAAAGTCAGCTTGAGGGGTGCACTATATATGATGGATCATGTCCAGTCAAAAACCAGGCAGAATCAGGAATTTTGCATTCCACGGTAGGAGGAGGGTTCACACCATCTGCACCAACAGAAAACCACAACCTTACTCTCTACTGAGTGGAATTGGTCAAGCCCTGGATGAAGCCTCCATGGTCCACCTCCCCAACAGTTATGAACTGGTGAGTGGCAAGGACTCCCATATTTCACCAGAAGAGTGTTAAAAGTACATTGGGGAGCCTGTAGGAACACTTTAAGACTGTGTAATGGGTGTCTATGAAACGCTATTTTTAAAAGCAGGCCAGTCTAGGTTTACTCAACAAGGACCAGAGGGATGGGCAGAAATCCCAACACTGCTTTACTCATGATAGTACATGAGTAGGTACAGTCTGGATCAGGCCTTGTTTAGTAAATAATTTACTGTGAAGAAACCTCTAACAGTCTTGTGGAATACCCCATCTCATCATTGAGTATTTCAGACCCAAATGACTGCATGGTGCAGATTTAAATATAAGTATAGCCTGGCAGGCTCTACATGCCACTCAGTGGGATCATAAGATGTAGAATAGGGTACCAGTAAAAGTAAGTGAGAAAGAAAAAGACCTTACCCATGCAGAGCCAACAGGGTGTATGTAGAATAGTGATGGGAGAAAGTTGATATCCTGAAGAAGAAGAGATGGTCAGACAATGAAGATAATGTACAACGAAAGTATGCAGGGCAGTCCATGTGTCAACCCACACAATCTCCTCCAACAGATGATGGAAGTAAGCAGCCAGAGAGAGAGAGAGAGAGAGAGTAAGGTGTCAGATTGGTGAGAGGAGACCTGAAAGAGTTAATGTGAATGTACATCCAATGAAGCAAGAGCTAGTAAGATGAACTGCTATAGCCTTCCTATGAAGTTGATGGGAGAAATATCTTGGGAAGATGAGGAATTGAAAGAAAATATAGATGGGAGCATGAACCATAAAAAGGAGCAGTGTAGCCAAATTGTAATGCACTGCATGGATGGGATAGAGAAAATAATCCAAATTAGAAGGGGAATAAAAGTGAGAAAAGGGAGAAAAGAAAGTAGGAGTGAATGCACTGTCCCCTTCACAAGCCACCAATGTATATGGGTGAAATAAATATAAGAATGATGGAAAAGAAAGAAGAATATGGGAGTCATCAGTAGCATATATACATTGGGTGTCTTATGGACACAAGCAAAAAGCAAGAAATAGGACTTAAGCGATTGATGGTACAAGGAACAATAGACTAAAAATTTAAAGAGAGGAGGGGTATGGATGGGAAAAACAACATTCTGGTCAAAATTAAGGAGTGCAGGATGAGGAGGACAAAGGTGGTAAAAAGAATGAAAATGCACAGAAAGGACAGGGGAGGAGAATACATGACGATAATGGAAAAACTCAATAGCATTTGGTAGAACTGGCATGTAGCCAGCAATGGTTAAAAGTGATAAGCCTAGGTTGAACAGCCATGTATTAATATGGAAAGATAGGGGACAGAAGGATGGGAAGAGGAGAAAGCATGATACAGAGACCAGCTATAAAATGTACACCATTTTCTGGGATAGACATAAAGGGAGGAAGAATAAACAGAATAAGAAAGAAGGCTACATGCAAAGAGAATCTGGAACATTCAACAAGAGACTAGACAAAAGCCACACATGAAGTTGGAATAACAACACTACCAATGAAAGTAGAAGTGAGGTTGAAGGAGTAGTAGGGAGCATGACAGATGAAGAGAAAGAGAAGGAGAAGGTTGGAGAAGGGTGAACAGAGGAAATCATGGCTGAGCTGACCAGGATGAAGCTATCAGAAGAACATGACATGTCCTGAATGATTGAAAGCACACAAGGGAGAAGATGAATAGGAGGGTAGAAATAGAGAAAAAGGTTGGACCAATCCTGACTGAATATATCCACAGCTAGAGCTGAAGGAAGAGGAACAGGAGACCAGAAAAGGGCATTATGATGGAGAGATGAGTGGCAAAAACATCTAGAAGAGGGGTGTTCAGTCATTTAAGCACCAATGGATCAAGGGACCACTCTGTGGGTAGTATCTTGTTGGGCCTTGAGAAACGATCTTCAATAAGATTCAGGGCACCTGGAATATAACAAGCTATTAAACATATTTGTAAAGAATAGACCAAAAAATGGAGGTCGAGACTGTGGAAACAGAGAGAGTGAGACTGAGTGTCCCCATGGCAATTGCTATAGAAGACAACAATAGAATTGACTTTATGTATCATCATTAGATGTACCAGCAAAAATTCTAAGAGACAGATATGTAGGGATGATTTGTTATGAGACAACCAACCCAAAAGAAAGCCTCCCTTCCTCGTCAAGGAGGCATCTGGAAACAGATGGGGACCTAGATGAGAGGAATGAAAATGAACACCCTCTATGGTATTGGTTTTATAAGGTCACCAGGTGAAGTCTTTGAAGGAGGAAGGAGAATGGTAAAGGGTATGGGATTTCAAGCAAGGATCCAGTGATCCTGCAGAGTCCATTGTAGATGTCACAAATGACCATGACCCATGGGACTATAAGATTTCCTGAAAGCCCAATGCCCCCAAAACAGAGAGAGAAGGAGAGGATAGAATATGGAAAATTAATTGCTCCATGTCCTTCAAAAGAAGAGGAGAAGGCTTTGCCCTATGAATATGTGAACTGAAAAAACACCCAAATGAAGGAGAAACTAAATGGATGTGCGATGTGACTTCTACAGGTTGATCAACCAACCCAGACTCACTGCCTCCCAAAGGATCAAAGGTGGAGAAAGGGATGACTGTAGGAGGCTTGTTGGGATGAAGCCAATTCAGAATATAAGCATAAGATATATCCATCTCTGTCATCCCAAGACTTGGAGCAAAAGACCACTGTAAGTCACGGTAAATCAAATGTGGTTGAGAAACCAACTGAGACATGAAACATCTAAGACCAGATACCTATCTATAAATTCCTTGGGAATCGCTAAAAGACAGAATAAGATTCTAGAAAAAAATAACAAACCCATCTGATAGCATCTTTAATCATTAGATCCAATACTGCCATGGATTGACATTGGCAATAAACAAGATTCCTTGGAGGAGGAAAAGTAAAGGGAACAGAAGTCAGTGGAGGAGAAGAGAAAAAAAACAAAGGGTAAGGCTCTCTGACAGAACTCCCAGTACCCAACAATTGGCAACAAACAGCGAAAAGGTCCATAAACTGAATTACAAAGGCTCTACTGACCCTGAGTCTATAGGACAGCCACCTCTAAAACTGAAACTGAAGTCTACAAGCAGTGGGATGGCAGATGGGAACAGAGGAATGAATTTATGTCAATAGGTTTGGTATCAAACTGTAGATTATAATTCAAATTTTAGTATTATATATTACTCAATTTCTTAATTTAAATGCAAATATTAAGAAAACATAGATAAACATCGATTTTTGTGTGTCATGTGGTATGTTGAATGTTGTCTGGTTCAAATTAGATGTTTGTGAAGTAAAAATACTAAGTCTATAGTTTTGTAGAAACTAGAAACTCAAATTACCGATATTGACAAGCTAGAATATAACATAAGAGCCTCTTATCTTATCAATTTGCTAAGATATTGCTCATGTAATAAATCAAACACAGCAGCACCCTGCCTACTTCTTTCCATTTTTGGAAATGCTCCCTTATATACACTGACTTCTATATATGACATAAATAACCAATCAGAAGCTCAGAATGTCCCCCTAGTGGCATTCTCAGCCATTTGAACAGGCTTGGCACCATTTCTTTTTTTTGAACCAATATTTCAACGAGGTAGGGTGAGTCTAGTCGGCTCAAAATTTCATATTTTTTTTTAGACTAAAATATATCATAATTACTAAGCTTGATAAATTAGTGGAATTCTATGGTATTAATGTAATAATTTATAATTTTTCAGTTAATCAAATACATGTGTAAAACCTAAAAAAATTATTTTGTTTCATATCCTCCATGTGCAAATTTTTTAAAGGCTTAGCAACCTACATCAAGCAGCAGCTGAGTACAAAGGTTGTAACTAGAAGATATAATAGTTTGCTTTACTTCTTTGGTACTATTTTATGTTTTAAGAAAAATAAGTTAAAGGACTTATTATTTCAAAATAGCAATAATCTATATACATATATAATGTATAATAATTTAAATGTGACTGTATTTTACAAAATACTAGTCTACTAAAACAGAGCCAAGACAAGTTACTTTGTACAGACCAAAGGTCAGTTTTATGTTACTGGATTTGGTAACATGAGTGCACATGAGCTGTATCATTGTAACTTGTATACTGTTAACCAGGCACACAGCTGAATAAAAATAATAAATATAATAAATGTAAAATGTTATGAGATTTAAGCTACTTAGTCTAAACATTTATGTTTTCGTATTATAATTTATGTTCAGTCTAGAATGAAAGAGGCATAACTTATATTTATTTCCTAATTTTTTATGGTGGTTGCGAGATTGCTCAAATCTACCAAATCCATACAGAGATTAATTACTGAAAATAACAGATAAAATATAAAGTTTTTTCTTAAGAAACAATTGATAACTATCTGGACATTATAAAGATTTCGCATGTGAAATTTAAAAATTTTCTGATACATAAAAGTACTTTTAATCTTAAAATGAATATTACTTTGCATGATAGACAGGCAACATCCGAAAAGAAAAAAAATAACATGAGAAAAACATTGCTTTACAAACCTTAAGACTTAAAAAAAATTCAAT